ATTGCAGATGTGTCTAGTAGTTCCCATTGATTTTGCTTGTAAAGCGGGGAGAATGGCGCTAGGCTTACCGCACCGTGCGTCACTGCTGGAAGATGGCAGGAGGGAGGGGCTACTATATTTGGGCAAAAATGGCCGCTCCCAGTGTTCTGTCAGACCAGCATACCCATAGTCAATATTCATGAGCAAGACGTCAGATTTGCATACGCATATGCTAGTTCCGTTTGTCCCTTTAATTTTGTACGAAAAATACACCAAACTTCCTCAACGGGCGTGTATCCCCTACAAAAAAATATTTAATTACTTACTTATTGTTTTATGAAGCGTATGGAGATCTTAAATTGTTTTTTTGCACATGACTAAATGGATACACGCCCGTTGAGGTAGTTTAAAGTGTATTTTCCATACAAAATTAAAGGGATAAACTGAGATAAACTAAAGGGATAAACAGGTATTGACTATGGGTATGCTGGTCAGATGGGGTATGCTGGTCTGACAGAACACCACCACCATATTTGGGGCAAAATGGCCGCTCCAAGACTCAATGATCGCAACACAAACTATTGTTTTCATTGGTTTACTGATTAACGCTTAATTTATTTAATCACTGGAATGTATTAGTTTTTGGTATAAATAATGATCCATTGATTATTCCTTGCTGACCAGACTTTCCCTTTAAATTGGTCTTAATTAAATTGGCTGCTTTGGAGATGAGCAGATGAACAGCCCTCAGGGTTAGCAGTAAATCACAACCTGCCTGTTCAACTTAGCAATTAACCGCCTTCCCTCCCCCCAAGAAATGCTGAACTTGAACTCCTGAACTTAAACCGTCTGCATGTGCAGCATTTCCTGGTTATGTTTGTGTGCGATTCTTACCTGTGGAAAGTCACTGAGCATGTGGTAGGCTCTGATATACAGTTCATGCTGTAAGAGAGAGGAGAGAGGGATCTTTGAAACCATCCATTCAAGCAGACGGCATCACATAACCCACAGCGACCCCCTGACTGGGCCCCACAGAAACACTAATAAGCTCTCACATGGGTTACATTACAGAACTTCTCAGGATGCTCCTGCTGCTGTGGATCGGACAAATATAAAAATGTGCAAAAATGTCCAAGTTGATATTTGAGCTAACCTACATTTCGAAGGGTCGCACAGAGAAAGGGGCCCAGTTTTATGCAACCAGTGGAGAAAGCCTAGAGATACCAGAGAAGAAGGAATCTAGGGGAAAGTTCATCAACTCCAAAACAAAAGTTGGGAAGAGTTTAGAGAGAAAAACAGGCTGAAAGAGACGCTGACTCTGCTACAATGTCACAAAAACACCCCTTTGTTCCAGAGGAACAGTTATCGCAACAGTTTAGGCAGGGTTTCTGTAACGACAGCTTGTTTGAACGTCACCCATGTACAAAGTAGCGTACAGGAATGCTGCCTGTTTAATCTCAACCTCGAGGAACAATGTGTTCCCGCAAGCTGATCCTTCACCTAATGTTAAAGCAACGATCCTGAATGAGGAGCTGGTAGGAAGCCAAGATGAGACAAAAACAGATTCAATACTATATAAAAGCTGCTAAATACAACAAAAAAATCAACATTTATTTTTATCCCTTCAACTTTCCAGCATTATGATTCATTTTAATACTTTAAATGTATTTTACTGTTGTTTTTTTTTCTTTTTACATAACAGATCAACAGAACAAGGAAAAAAGATTCAGTTTTTAAAAATCTCTTCAGAAAAATCTGATTAGTGTGGCAGGCAACTGGATTCTTTGCTTACCCCAACCGTAAACCTTTTACATCTTTTTCATCATTCTGCTACATTCTATTTCTATTCTCCCACTCTGCAGAATCTGTTAGTTCAATCTCTAACGTTCTGCTCTCTCTGCTTTTTCTCATAGTAGCTT